TTTTTTTTTTTTTTTTTTTTTTTTTTTTTTTTTTTTTTTTTTTTTTTTTTTCGAGCAAACAGATTTGAATTACAAAATAGTATACAATATGTGAAACTTATTACTTAATAAAAATGGATGGATATTTATTTGAAGAAAAGTTAAAATTCCTAATTAAATTAAAAACTTTTAAGCTAACGACTTGATAAAAAAATAATATGGCACAAATGACTAGCTTTTTCCTAGTTTAATGCATAGATAAGGCATATCAGTTAAGATATATAAGAAATCCCGACATCCCGTGAGTTAGTTATGCATGACAAATTTTACTCGAAAAATAATGACTGTGTTTTTATCAAGTCGTTAACTAAAAACTTGTAACTTTAATTAAAAAATTCTTAATTTTTCTTAAAAAGGACAGTCACCAAGTCAACACTTTTTATATCTATGGTATAATAAATAAGTATAAAATTACTTTACACAACTTTACGTAATTCAAATCTCGATTTCGTGAAAAAAAAAAAATCCTCTGTCGACAACCATCTGAGGTACATACACTCGTTACATCTGAATTTTTCCACTGTCATGCACTCGCTGAACACTAAAATTATAGATGTTACAGTAAAGGTCGTCGCATTTTTCGCAGATAAAGTACATGCATCGCGGCAACCGTCACTCCCCGAATGAGACGCGATATCTCGCAATAAGCTCATAAAGCTTGGGAAACCTCGATTTTTTTTCCCCAAAGTAATTGACCACCGATAAGTTAATTAAACACGACGTGGAAAAATATTTTGCAAGATCGCTGGGTACGTGATTTCGAAACGCGCATGTGTGTGTATATATGTATATAGTACGGCCGAATGGGAATCGGTATGTATCGGTAACAGGACGATCTTGCGTCACGCATCGCGATACCAATCGGATCTGCAAAAAGCCGGTAGCGTAATAATAAATTACAGCGTGTCCGCGCAATAGAGACGCAAATTGGGATGTCTGTGGATTGCGTTTGGCGGTGAGTGCACATATATACCGATCGAGGAAGATCTTGTCCGGAGATTATTCGAAAGTAACACGGCTCTACCGATGGCGAGCAACTAAGGTGCAGTGCATTGTGTCGCCACTGCGTGTATACCATAATACCACGGTACTTTGGAGTATATACACCCGGAGGGGCTTAGGAGCGGAAATCAAGAAATCGCCTCGGCGCGTAACAGGTGACTTTTGATCGGTAGGTATATATGTGGTGCATAGCGTGCACGCGCCTCACTTTCACCCAACGCCGCGTGTATCTGTCCGTCGTGTCCGGCTCTCCGTTACTTTATAAACAAATGTATGTATATATATATACGCGCTTAGGGGATACCGTTATATCATACGAGCTTTGGACAAGTTGTACTTTAATACGTCGTCAATGAGGTTTTTTTTTTTCCTTCTTCTCGTTTAAGTACTTAATTAGGCTACACTTGGCGTAACAAGATTTTATGGGCCCTATATATATTATGATGCCTTGTTATTCGTTCCTTACAAGCAAATTTTTTTCATCTTATGATAAAGGGACCTTGTAATAAAAAATAAAATAATACAAAATAGAAAGCTCGTGGAAAAGTGTTTTTACGTGGCCCTTGAGTTGTATATCTTGCGATCTTGGTATAAGAAAAAAAAAAAAAAAAAAGCACTTCACAATCATACATACGTTGTGTACGTGGATTAGGTTTGACACGCGTCTTGAAAGTCATCGGATTGAGTAACGCAGAGAGAAATGAACTTTCCAGCGTATGTTTTTACACACGTGCATGTATATATGTTTCACGTGTCGGGATTAGCGTGGAAATCGAGATCGAAAATCGAGCGGAATTTTCATAAATGTGTGCGTACACATATACGTAAATGTATACATGGTGAGGTGTGATTTCACTTTCGGCCAATCGACTGTATATTATGATAATCCGCCTCGATTCTTATCAGCGATAGACATATGCAATGTGGAAAATCACGGTACACTCCGATTTATAATGGTTGCATTCCGTGCTTCATTGAACGCACGCGGAGTGATACTTGTTAAATATATATACACAATACAAATATATATAGCCATTTTTTGAGAACTATGCCCTATAAGCTCTGCAATGCTGTGTTACTATGCATTTACATGCTATCGTCATTGGCATAGTAAAAAACCGCCTCAGATTTAATTGTGACATCAATCACTTACACAGCAAGGGGGACCTTATTTTACATGGCTTCCGAGCCATTTGGCCACAGTTGGTAATACGCACTTAAGAAATAAGTTTCTCATAGGTGCGAGCCAAGTGAGTGAAGGCCGAACTCGTGAGCATGTGTTACCAAGCCCCCGAGCTACAAGAACTACAGCCTTTACCACTGTGCTACCGTGGCCGCTAATATATATACACTATGTACGCGTATGAGTGGATACGTAAATACGTTTTTGGCTGATTACTCCTTTGGTTACTCCTTTGGATAGAGACGTGACTTGGTTTTTATTTTTTAAAGACAAATTTTGAAAATATCTAAAGCCACGAAGGCGTTTCAATTTTCCGAACAAATATAACATAACATAGTATCAATGACAAAATTTTGTCCGGAAATGAACTTTATCTCAACAAACATTATTATATTCACAAGGTGTTTAATCAGTGATGCGTCAGCAGTAGATACCGTTTTCAGCGTATATGGCTAAGTGTTCTCTTATGAACCCTATAGTTTTTGGTTTTTTTGTGTTCGTTGATAACTAGTAAAAAGTTTTCATTTCATCAGAAACCCATATTATATTAACGGACATTTGTTTGGAAAATCTTAATCAGCCATAAAATTCCTACAAAAACTGTGTAATATTGCTATTTTTAACAAATGTAACAAAGTTCCATAAGTTAAAAAAATGCGTTGCATTGCAATACAAAACGGTGATTTCACTACTAAGTATTTCTTGAATAAAGTAATTTTTCAAACAATATTTTTCAAAAAGTTACTCAGTATAACATGTGTCCACTTAAAGTATTTAGTTGGACTTTAGGACACATTGCTGCTGCTTATCGATATTTTCTTTTTTTGATAACACGACACATAATGACTTTTGTCAGTCCAACGTTGCCAAGAAAAACCGCTACGAAATTGTCTACTATACGTGCACAGCACCAGCCATTAATATGCCATTAACATTTTTTGGCTTACTGTCGACAGGCACAGAAATCACCTCATCAATCGTAGAGTCAGTAGCTTTTTAAACGTTGAAATTGACACGTCGACATTTTTTGCTTTTCCAAAAGACGTGATGAATATAAAATTTGTTTAGCACAATAAGCTAAAGTATATAGTGGACATTTTCGAAATTCAAAACATTTTTCCTAATCAAGTATTGAGAGAAAAAATTCATTCTAGTGCTGGGACAAGACAACCAGAAGTACATTTTGATCGTTGATTCGAAATCTATATTCGATAACGGGTGAGTTTATGTTTAAAAATTTTGAAAAGTTATTTTACTCTCACAAAACATAAATAATAGTAATTAAAAGGAAACACGTAAAACTTTTCTAGCATGTTTTTAAATACATTGACAGACAAACTTCTTGTCAATTTGTTTTCATAAAAAAAAAAAAAAAAAAATTAAAAAATAAAATATAGTGTAATGATCCTGTCCATTAATATCTGTCTGCGAAAACAATTCTTCAGACATTTTTAT